GCCCCCTCACAAAACACAAGAAAAACGAGGGGGAAGAAAGGGGCAGAATTTCTTCAGCACCCCGTTAGGGAGTAAAAACCTAGAAAATGAGATCTAGCCCCTAGCCCCCCCCTCAACTTACAAGTTAGGTGGGGGGCTACACGGGAGAATCAAACGGGCCGATAGTTGGAGAGTGAGAAAAATTCATAGGTAGGTTTGACTGGATGGGTGAATGGGATTAGGGTGGTTGCAGAAATGTGAAGGTCCTTCTTATCCCGAGGGGCGGTCCTCGGACCAGTGTCCCTCCCCACAGGGGGAGGGCCGCAACAACCACTCCTGAATAAGTTGCGATAAGTTCCTTAGTAGTGGCATCAAATACATACACAGGGTGACCAGTACCATACAATGGGGGCGTTGAGCGCCCAACCCTTTAGGGTTGGGCGCTCAACCCCTTGCAACCCCCTTCTTAGCAGCACTCATTTTTGCGCAAGTTTTCTCTGAATTGATCTTACCCCTATGCGCAGCACCAATCTTTGCTTTGGTCTCCTCTGTATGATTTTCACCGGTTCGAGAAGGAGGAAGCCCTGCGATCGGATTAAAATTATATGAATTTTTGCGGGTCTAGAGAATAACCAGTTCAACCAGTGCTGCTCTCTCGCTAATAAGTTGGCTTTATTAGAGAATTCGATCACAAGAAAAACAAAAGTAGGCAAACCGTAAAGAGCAATGGCATTTGAAGGTGAATATTCGAACTATAGTTAAACACATGAGCGAACGATCGATCCGATTGTTGGAAGAACCGATATACATGGAGTCATTTTCTAACCATTTAATACAGTAAATGCCGGAGGAACCGTTCAGAGTATCCGACGCAGCTTTGAGGGACTCAGTCAAGTGAAGATTTCCAAATTCCATAAGAATAGGTAAATCGTCTGCTGCTTCACAGAGGATAGCTTGATAAATTAAATAATATAAAAATAAGAATAAAATTAATAGTAATAAAATATTAAAAGATTGATTTTTGTGACGGTAGATTAGAGTTAAATGTATATAGGCACTTTTCACCATGATTAGCGTATTTATGAACAATTTTGTTAGAGTTGGAATTGAAGTTTAAAATAATCGAAGATAGTACCCAAGAAACTCCTAATAGGATAATAACTAGATAAAACATGATTTGGTTATGAAGCTCCATGATTCCCTCAAATGAAGGACTTGCCTTAAACACAACCCCTCTCTACTCATATCTCCACGGAGGAGCTCGGTAGAAGAATGTTGTTTGGACTATTTCTTAACTTTTGTATAAAATTAAGACCCCATACGTGTTGGAAAGTTAAAAATAATAAATTTCCTCTGTTGTTACTATTAACCAATTGCCCACCCTCACTACCCCAATCGCCTAAATCGGTAATGGAAATAGTAACCATCTTGTTAACGGTAAACATAATTCTATGGGCCTTCAACTTTAGTAACCTTATCTCCCCAAAAATTTATTATTTTTGGGGGGGGGGGGGATTAAACCTACGTTCCTAAGTTATCGCGGAGCATAGAGGACACCATGTGAGTCTGGCGGAGCCCTACTACAATCGCTCTCAATGAAGGCATTGAAGAAGGCTCTCTTTATCCCCCTGCTTATGGGGGAGACCGTAAAATAAATACCCTGTTAACTAATCTTACCGGGTCGTTTATACATCACCCCCGGCGGGCCAGCCTAGCGCCTTCCGCCGGGGGCCAGCCGCTGGGAGTCATATGTGGAGTGACAATAGATCTTAATTGTGCCATGCCCCGGGGGTTTTTCTCCCCATCGGCTCCTGGGTAAGCTTACCCAGGAGCGGAGGGGGGAAAAACAGCCGAAGGGCGACCAAGTCCGCCGGCCACCCCGGGGCCGCTCGACCGAATATAAATAATCGGGTAGTTACCACGAGTCATTCGAAGAGTACAATCTAGATATCGAATCATTAGAACATTCATTAATCGTACCACCTCCGGGACAGAAAACGAGCCCCTCGGGGCGAGCAGGACACGGCGCTAGACGCTTGCACCTGCTCGTGAGTACAAACCCCCCTCCCCTCCCCGCAAGGGGTTAGGGGGGGGCAACCGGAGGAACCGGCGACCAAGTCCGCCGGTCCCCCCGGGGCCATTAAACCATAATTTCTTGCTTCACCATCGGCCATAACCCAGTGAGCTAATGCAATAGGACATAAGAGGTTATAAATATCCTCTGGCCCGTCTTCTTTATAAGAAGACGGACGACTTTAATACCATCCATATAAAATAGGTTACGTAACTCTGTAATTAATAAATTATTAGGTAAACAAATTGTAACTAACTCTAAGCTATAGTTCATACTATTCTTCCAGAATCTGATTTTAATTGTGGATAGCTAAGACAATATGGGGGATAAAATAATAAAAACATACCAAAAATACTCAAAGTGCACTAAAGACTGTGAAAACATGAGTCTGCATTAACTGTAGGGATATTCGCTTGCAGATACCGTCTGAGAGTAAAATACCAACTACTACCCCTTTAATATGAGAGGGTAGAGTTACCATATTTCGAATAATTTTAGTTAATCTTTTTTTCCCTACCATAGAGGATAAATAAATGTCGGCTCCCGCCGACCGCGTAGCGCCCTACTACGTACCCCCCTCCCCTGAGGGCTTGCGGGGCCAAGGTACAAGGGCAATACTCAGATATAGGCATATACCTACAAGAATCAATCATTAGGCATGCATAAAAACTCTACAATGTTGTTCGTCGGCCCCGCCGACTCCTCCGGACCCTCGCTCCGCGACCCCCCCTGGGGGCCTAAGTGTAATACAAAAGCTTCTGACATGTAGTCTCTGAGATGTCCCATGAAAGGTTATCTACTGGTGACTCTAACATAATATTTACCCCTAATAACAGTACTAGTAAGTAGATAAACAAAATTAAAAGAGCTTTCCAGTATATAGTCAGATTACCGTAATATAGCTGAGTTGTTGGTAAACAGCTAATTGGATTAGGCGCTTTTTTTCCACCATCCTGGAAGCTTAGTTGCCATGGTTCAGGGGCATCATTGAACACAGGCCTAAACGGGTTAAATAAGAATGATGATAGATAATTGATCATAATAGAATTATATAATGGGATCCCTTAGATGAAGAATTTGGGTTACGGATCTAGTAACGATATCTCTAGTAAAATCAAAGAACTAGAACCATACCTCATCCATCGAATCTATCGATGGTAGCATAAGCAACAGAAGTATGTTAAATATCTACATCGATCTAGCAAAAGAGAAAATTAAAAAATAAAATTCTCTCTCTTATAAATAGATAAAATTGTTCTGTAACCTTTAGAGCGTGAGTCCAATTAATGATTAAACTGGAGGGAGTCCATCAAAGGTATTAACTCTCCCTCAAGTTGCCATAGGCTATCGGCAAGGCCGAGGGCGCGGAGCGGGGGCGGGGCCCCGGCACCCACATAGATAACTACGTAGATGAACTAGGAACGGGTAGTGATAGTAGTGCAGATGGAACAGGTAAGGCTAATTAATGGGTTTTCAGAGTAGATTCTGTAGTTGGTTCGATTTAAACTCCATCGTTTACAACAAAAGGACGAGTATCTACCCACGAACCATTAAGATAAACGGGAAAAAGTTTATCTTAATGGTTTCGTCATTTAGCTACAATTATAGTAGATTTCTTTAGAATGGGGCCTAATTTCGCTGTCCAACCGGCCCCCGGGCGGGGCCCGGGGGCTGGCATAGCCCTCCCCGAATGGGGGGAGCCCGGAGGGGCTGTTTTTTTTTATAAAAAAAATAAACTCGCTACTTACCGCAAAAATATGGTCAGCCCCCTATCCCCTTCCCATGTACCCGTTGGATCGATAAGTCCACCTTCAGGGGTTCTCCATGGAAGGATGGGTACCTTATATTAGCAGGCGTTTCGATTTTAGCTGTTAAACATAGTTTTACTGCCGCGCCAAAGGCGCAGCTAAAACGATTCCGAATAATAAGCTAAGATCCTTATTAGTAGATAATACTGGTACTCAGACAGGCATATCCTTAAGCATTGCATAAGGATATGAAATCTTAACATCATAGTAATAAGCGTTTTCAATATACGGTTTAAAGACATCACATCGTCCACCGTAATAAGCCTGTCTCATCTCTTTATGGGAGGGTCACCCCCTATCCCTCCCATAATCTATAACCTAGATTATTTATGTCCTTCCCCCTGTTGTGGTGCCCCCCCATATTTACCCACTTTTTTTTTTTTGCTGGCAGACGTAGTTTGCCTCCAGCAAAAAAAAAAAAGGCACGGTTCAAGCGTGGATAGATAACGATAAAACCAGGTAAGGGTACAATTAGCATGATAACCCAAGAAGGTCCTTACCTCATTATCTTATATTAAATTCTAAATAAAGAATAACGTAATAAGATAGGGCAAAATAAGCATAAGTTCTTCCTAATAAGCCCATAGAGCTTGGAGTCTTACTGTAACAGAAATACAAAGGGTTAGATCCTAACAAATACATAGGAAGCAGCGCTTTGGTTCCACGCCTGCGGACCGCGTACGAGCAGAGCTCTTGCGGCTGGGATTTTTTACCATAGGGGTTTATACCTTATAACTTATGTGTTAAATTAGGGAGACCCGAAACAACGAACTAGTTTGTACTGGCAGACCCCATTACTAGATGACGTTACAAATATAGGATGATCGTAAAGCCCGTTAAAATTCATAATAACCCTATCTCCCGGCGGGCCAGCCTAGCGCCTTCCGCCGGGAGGCCGCAAACGATAAATATAAATATATTTATTGAATATTATAAAATATAATATTAGACCACATTACTAGACACGTATAAAGACTATAGGATGTACCGATACGTATAACTAACGATAGCACTAAACCACCTAACTCACCCTCCACAGAGAGAAAACCTAGAGAAAAACCTACACCCCCAAAATTAAGGGAACCCCCTACTATACCCTTTATTTACAAAGTAGATAATCCAGTTAGATATGGATGAAGTGGCCTCAACCGGATTTGAACCGGTGTTACAGCAGTGAAGTTACTATGACCTAACCTATTAGTCGATGAGGCCCAAATTCTACAGCAGATGTGTTGCTACGGGGGGGGGGTAATCTCAAAATAGAGATTTATGAATACAGTATTCTAATAATTTAGGAACTCGTAATAAAAGGAAAGAACCTCTAACGACTGACCCACGTTCAAGCGCCTTTCTTGCAGTAGTGTGTTTAACCTCCATAAACGACGCGGCATCTTTGATGCAAGAAAATTCACCAAGAATAGCCCCATTTAAATCAGTAACGATAACCGAGACTGCCGCATGATTAAGATCTCCACTACTCATTCTGGCTTTAAATTCACTGGAATGTTGATAGCCGAGACAAGAACCCGCGGTTGAGCAAAAATTGTATCTTAGGCCACGGCGCTGGTCGCTGGCACCCCCCCGGGGGGCCCCCGGGGGCGGAGCAGATTTATAGCTGTAAATGGGGGGGCCTCGGTGGTACCCCTATAATAAGGGGTTTATCTTAGAAGTCCGATAAAGACTACGACATAGGGCATACTCGATAGAAACGTCTAACGACAGAATTGTATTTAATAGCCCCCCCCTGGGGGAAAGCGACTAGCGCCGTCCCCAGGGGGCCCCGTTGGGGCGCAACCGGTTGAGTCGGCGAAAGCTTCGACTGAGTCGAAGCTTTCACCGAACGCCTAAATATTCGGCCGGGGGCGATTGAGAAGAGAAAGATGCGATTAGCTCACCATCTAAATTAAAAATCTGGACACCAACAGCATTATAAGCAACACCACCGTAGTTATGGTGGTTCGCACCAAGCAGGGTCGCCGCACCAAGCTTAGCCGCACTCAGCTTTGAACGCGAGTTTAGGGTCCATTTATAACCAAGAACTGAGCCAGCTACTGCTAAAAAATTCGATTTTTATATATATATATATATATAAAAATTAAAAAAAAATCAGATTTTTTTTCGAACGAAGCTCAGAAGGAAGGGAGAATAATCAATCTAAATAGATCTGTTCTCGTGCTAGTAAAATTGTTTTGAGTATTGCAGCTGTCATCGAAGGAAGAATCTCAATAAACTCAACCACAATGAATACAAAGGCAGCGATACCGTATAGCAACATAGCGTTTCGGAGGTGAATGTTAGTTGAATCGATAAAATGATCTCTTAACCGTCTTCCAAGATCTGTAGAACTACCGATGTACACTGCCCCAGTAATAGTACATCTAATTGCGTAGACCCCCGCTAAACATTTGAGCGATTTTACAGCAAAGGCGAAATTATCTGTAACGTGAGTCGAATTGCGCGGCTACAGGTAACTCTGAGATTCCCTCGCAACATACAATATGATTCGAAATAACTAAATTATAAATATACTCAGCAAAGCTTTGTAGTTCAATAGATAGGAACATAGAAACTAGATCACTATTTGAAATTAAACAACACATACCTAATACTGTAAATAATACAATAAGAGGATATTCAGCTAATACTGGCAATCCTTTACCCTTACTAATTAGAGTCGAATTTTCTCTTAAGAAACAAGAATAAAAGTTTTCGATTAAAATTAATAGCGGTAATCCGAAGGGATGATAAGGCGATCACTAAAATCATGGTAATGAATAAAAGCATTAACATAAACTGACAGATGTTTGAACCCCAATTCTAATAGATTAACTATCTATACACCCCCCCGGGGGGGTGCCACGGCGCTCTTTTTTTTTTTGCGGCAAGCGACGAGCGCCGTCTTGCAAAAAAAAAACGCTGGCCACCCTCCCCCCTTTGGGGGGCCGGGGAAAAGCCAGATCAGTTTTATATTCTCTTTACTTATATGTATAAACCGGCAACCATCAAAATCAAATTATCAAAACAAACTATTAATATCTATAGACTATTTAACTTAGCCCATACCTCGAGCAGCAAGCGACTAGCGCCGTGTTTTTGCCTAAAGACAAAAACACGGTCGCATGGAGTGGGTGGTAAACCCCCCACTCCTAGCGCCGTGTGCTCGAGGGCCGCGAAGGTTGGTGCGTACGAGTATACCTGTTTCTCCAAGCTAGCTGTTTTAATCTTACTATTGTGGAAATTCCGAGTTGGTCCAGTAAGCAGTGCGCCTAAGGGTCTAATACCTGCTTTAAGGTTGAGACAATTATTAGAGATTTGATACCCTCATAGGTTCGATACTGAAAACCTATTAAGTTTTGGCTACTCTATATAGTCTCTTAACGATTTTATTCCGTGGATAGCGATAAAACCTGCATGTCTTGTTAACCCATAGATACTCCGCCTCAGTTATCGTATCAAATCTACCTAGAGCAATTCCGTTTAAATTGGTAACGATTACAGGTGGGACCGGCAGTTACCTTACCTCATTAGTTATTTCATTTCTGCGCAGTGCTCATTTAAGCTTTATCTCAGTATGTAGAAAACCTAGTGAGGAACCAGCTATAGGTAAAAATTCTATTACTCAGGGCCGCCTCAAAGGGGAATAGCCAATTCAGATAGAATTGCTCACGATTGAGTAAGTTTGTAGGGGCACAGAACTCTACGATGATAAATACAAAAGAGGAAAGACCATACAACGCAATAGCACGTTGTAAATGTAAATTGCTGCCACCGCGGTGCGGTGCTTTTTTGTCTAGGTTTTAGATTCTAGACAAAAAAGAATTGTTAAAAATATGATCACAAAGGCGTCTACCTAAATCGGTACTACTACCAATGTACATGGTCCGCCTAACTATTTCAATCTAATAAAGTAACCTTTAAGCACTTTACCAGAACGCGCATGTCTAAAACTGTCGTTTGGTGAACGTCTAACCACTTTGCAGCCGCAGTCTGGCTGTTAATCGCTGAACTAGCACACCCTCTAGCCCCGGAGGGCTCGTCCCTTCGGGGTAAGTCCCCTCGGGACTAGAGTATATAGAGAAACAGCGTGAGCATTCGGTGAAACAGCACCATAGCTTGGATTCTTCTCTCCTACCTTAGCAGCACTGATTAAAGCTTTTGTTCCCTCAGAATGGGTTTTCCCCTTGAAAGAAGGAGGAAGATGAGCAATAGGGTTAAAATTATAACGAAGAGACGGAGGAAGGGAAAATAACCAATTAAGCCAATGCTGTTCTCGGGCTAATAGATTAGATGATTCACAAAATTCTACGACGATAAAAATAAAAGCCGGGAGACCATAAAGAGCGATTGCTCTTTGGAGATGCAGGTTGCTACCACCGCGGTGCGGTGCTTTTTTGTCTAGGTTTTAGATTCTAGACAAAAAAGAATAGTTAAAAATATGACTTACCAATCGTTCACCCATATCACACGAGCTCCCGATCCCCCCCTCCCCTTGGGGAGGGAGGGAAAACACACACATGTGTGTGTTTTGGACATCGTGCCTGTCTCTTGACGGACCATGCAATAAATACCTGATGTGTCTTTAAGCAGTTCTTTCGCTTCCTTAAGAGATTCAGTGTGATGAAGATCCGAAAATGACATGAGACTAGTCCCAAGGGGCGGTGAAAGCTTCGACTTAGTCGAAGCTTTCGCCGACTCACCCCCGCAGGGACAAGCCCCTTCGGGGGCTAGGAAGGTCGTCAAAACCTTCACAAAAGATAGTTGATGAAGTTCCCCGGGGGTTTGTCTCCCCATCGGCTCCTGGGTAAGCTTACCCAGGAGCGGAGGGGGGAAAAACGACCGGAGGGCGACCAAGTCCGCCGGTCCCCCCGGGGGCATAAACCAAATAGTAGAGAAATAAGCACCACTGACAGAGGCAGTAGCAATCTCATAGCAGTTGTGGATGCCAGCCAAGCAGTTAGGGGTCTTTATCGGGATGGTCTGAATAATCGGGAGATAAAATTAGCGTTCATTAAACACTCGATACAGGCCCTTTACAGCATAGCCTCGTTTGATAGCCTTAGAGATTGTTTGGTGAGACGGTGAAAGCTTCTACTATGTAGAAGCTTTCGCCGACACCAAGAAAGCCCATTTGGCCGCTGCTGTGTGAGAAGAAAAACATCCTACCAGAACATTATCAAGAGTATATACAGAAACTGTTAGAGCCGTCGGCGAAATGGTCCCGTACATCGGATTGAGTTGTCCCTTTCTTCCGAATGCGGGGTTATTTTCACCTTGACTTGCTGCACTGATTGCTGCTTTAGCTTCTGGCGTGTGCTGATAACCTCATCCTGAACCTGCTTTTTTGTAGTTTTTTCTAGCGGGCACATGTCCGCCCTTGAAAAAACAAAAAAAAGAACCCCGGTCAACAAAAAGTTGAATCGACAGCTGGCCGGTAAAGAAAATAGCCAGTTCAAGTAAATTTGCTCTCTTGAGAGTAGGAGGGCTTTAATCGAAGCAGTTTGTGTGCCCGCAATAATCTCTACAAATTCAACGACGATAAATACAAAAGCACCAATAGGGCCCCATACTTAATAATAGCATTTCGTAGGTGAATGTTAGAAGAATGAATAAAATGATCATTCATTCTCTTGGAAAGATTAATAGAACTTCCAATGTAGATTGCTCCTGTTACCACGCAGCGAATACAATAAATGCCTGCTAATCCTTTAAGAGATTTAATGGCAGAGGCAAAATTATCAGTAATATTCAGATTCTCGAATTGCATTACACTAGGTAATGCTGCTGTGGGAAAAGATTCACCTTCACATAAGATAACGCTGTTTGAGCCTACAAGAATAATAATCCAAGCAATAAATAAAGTCATTGTAAAGAAACTAAAATTATGTGTAAATGAGTAGTTTTTCATGATGGTGTTGTATATTAAATAAATAGGTGGTCAATGGTAAATATAACTAGTTCCTAAATAGTTATAGCGAGGACAAAGCATCCCCGACTTTCTCACGCCATTAAGAAGGTGACTGCCGTCCAAGCCTTTTCCTCTTGAAAACCGTTTTATCTTGATCACCTGCGTGTCGCTTAATGTGTGTCATCGACCGGCTATACATGGATTAATTTACTATTATATTACCGAAATGGAGTTACCTCCTAGACGACTCATGGAGTCCTCTCCTAGAGTCTGTATCTATAAGCCATATAGATTTCCTCGATAACCT